CATGATATTTCCTTCTCCTTATATTTGTATATAGAAGGCAATAAGCAAGTAATTAGTTGGAAATGAATTAATTTCAGACTTAATTTGAGTACCGAGTTTTGCGCATCTCTCAGTCCTGTGTAAGTTTATTGAATCCATTTTGAGCAGCAACAATCAAGAATCATGCGATCAAGATCTGACTTGAACACTTGGTATGAGCGTCAAATATCAACTTTAAGTAAGTGACATTCCCAAAAGTAATCAGTGATTTACGGAACTAAATTATCTCTCAGTTTGTTCTCACATGCCTATCAATTACTTTCTTTTTGTGGGTGAAATTTCACATGATTCTGTGTGCTTTATTTTGATATTACATTTGCATATACTGCACAAATTTTATTGAGCATTTTCACTTTCTAATTATATGTGATGCCTATATACCCTGAATCAATTCGTTTTTCGTCACGTCTGTTATGCTTCTATTATGATTTATTTTCACTGAGGGTTAGTTATGTGGATCATTTATTTGCAATTAAATGATGATTAGATTCTGAATAGTAGGAGTATGATATCTGTTCTTATCTCTCCCTTGATCATTTATTGCAGATAAGAATTTATCACGTGTTCATAAATCAGTAGATAATTTACCTGCACATAAAGATGAGCAACTCAAATCAGCTGATGAAGCGGTGAAGGGTTTGGGATTCAGGTATTCTATTAAACCAAAATAGTTATTTCATATTATTGACAAGTAATAGATTGCTCTTTACACATGTCTGTCTGTAAACAAGTAATAATAATAATAATAATAATAGTATTTGAATAATACATAATAGTAGTTTTGTTCAATTTTAAATATCATATTTTTTACCTTTTTTACAAAGAAAATATAAGATTGTACCCTGTATTTTATGTTTACTTATAAAGGATAGCACGGACGCGAGAGCGAGCAGTGGGCAATGAGAGAAACGCAGTTATATCTACTGGTCGTCGTCATCGACGTCGGCATTGCAATAACAGTTTGTTTTATCATATAAAATAGAGCCCTTCACTTACCTCGCCAGAATTTTTTTTTCATTTTTATCTCTCAAAAATAATTTTTTTTATCGGAAGCAAGAACACTCTTCGCTCTTGTAACACAGAAAACCTAACAGCGATGCACCGATGATAATTACTGTGTCTGCATTTTATGGCATAACTATTAAACTTTCAACTTCCTTCATTCAAAAACATGCTGATATAGAGAAAAATTATACATAACTTAAAAGTCTTGTTATAATGTCACAGCATGCAAAAACTTCAAAACTGCAAATTTCATTGAAGGAAGCGCGAAATGAACACACTTCTCAAGTCGTAAGGTTACGTCATGTTCGTATGGAAACAAAGCGTAAATCAGTATTTATTATGTCATTCTTGCAATACGTTCTGTAACTCTTATCAGTTCAGTTCGATTCTAAATTTTGTAGCATTGCATTTAAAAGATTCTGTTTAGTAGCATCTATAATAGTTAATCATATGTAGCGTTACCAAAGATCTAAAACGCATTGTGATGGTAGAATGTTACAGCTGTCAATGTCAACTGCGTATGACACATAACAAATGAATCGCTTAAAAGTTCCATAAAATAATGTCAAATATTTCTTTCTATTTCAACAATGAAATTAATGAACCAATGCTTGTCATTAATTGTTCAGATTGATTTTGGAAATTTTGCAGAATTTATTTATGTTTGTGAGAACAATTCAAACAATACGAATTATTGGCTAATTTACATGCATATATATATATATATATATATATATACATACATACACACATACATACATACATACATACATACACACATACATACATACACACATAGCCCTAGCCTCATCTACCACATATACATTGACGAATAAGTGAATGGGAAAGTAAAAGTGACATAGCAATCATCCGTCGTCATCCATTTTCGTTTGCTTTAAATATTATTGCACAGCGAGCATAGAAATATAGAATTCTCGCTATTTTTGACGTCTACATTACACCAATTTTGATTTTGACTTGCCAACTTCTTGTTTTCCTATTGAGGTCATCAAATTTCTTCCTATCTACACCTGTAATGGCATTTTGTATATGTATGTGGATGCAAGCATTTCAAAGCTTGTATGCATGCTTATGTGTGCGTGTGTGCGTATGAATATGCGGGTATGAGTGTTCATATACGTGTCTACTTCTTGCTTCATAAGTATAGAAACGGAACACTAAATATTTTAAGGTTTTTCCCTCGATATTGTTACCCTTACTGTTAGTCATGGCAATTCGAAACATTTGTAAGTGATCGGAATTGCAGATTCCGTGACATAGTAATACGACATAGTAAATGCATTGTGACCTGGTGTGCCTTTCACCACTATTTTTCGGCGTTTCGTTTAATTGAAGCAGTCAGCACATCAATTCTTTTTTTATATTATCGCAAGCGTCGTATGACGCCTCAGTTTACGTATGCAATGACATCAGTTGCACTTTTTATTGTCATTTTGAAAGCGATTTGGGCGCTCTGGTTATTGTAAATGAGAAATAGTTGCTTGTGTAATTTCACATTTGAGGTCACATATCTTATTTAGTGTTTGCATGTTCACTCACGATAATGGAGTACATGAGATTAGCCACAGATGACGTTGAATTTGCAACAGTCTCGACGAATACTGTCACCTCTAGGACTGCTGCACTAGCAACAACGAATAATGTATTTCACGGTAAATATGCGAAATGTTGCAGTGTTTCCTATATATCAGTCTTGCCTTTACTTCAAACATCTTGTCACTTGAAATCTGACGTATTCTTTTCATACATCCCCGAGCTTTTCTAAACATTTCACTGCTTCTGGTTCGTCATATTCTGTTAAGTGCTCATATACGGAGAATGCAGTGCAACGTATGTCACGATGCCTTTAAATGTTTGCTGATAATTATCATGTACATTCTGTTGAGAGTGATGAGCATGTGACGGAAATCCAAGTAATATTGCAATTTTGTTGTGGTTTTTGTCATTACTTTCCTTTGATTGCTTTAAGTATTTTATTTGCAGAAGATCAAACTATTTTTATCTCTTTCTACTTCTATATTGAATCCTGGAGTAAATTGATATGTATCAA